TCCCTTCCCCTCCCACCCCTTTTTCCCTTTCATGATTTTGTTTTTGTTTTTGTTTTGTCTTTCCTTGTCCTTACAGGTAAGGCAAAGGACATTCACGGTTTGCTACGGGATATTGTTCGAACGCTTTGACAACTATTCCTCGTTGCTGCAGTCTGTTGCGTTCAACCGACTGATGGGAGCGGAACACTTCTTTGTCTACAACCAGAGCGTAGGGCCAAAGGTGGATGCTTTACTGAGACACTACCAGCAGATGGGGCTGGTCACCGTGCTCAGGTGGCCTCCATTCCCCACAGACAGAAGCTGGTACCATAGCCAAAACGCGGCCATAAATGACTGCGTCTATCGTAACAGGGGAATTTCTAAGTTTGTAGTGGTCATAGATACAGACGAATACCTTATACCCGTTAGGCATACGTCTTGGGAGGAATTGCTGGAAGCCGTCATCCACAAAGAGGCCAAGGAAAATCAGGTACGCAGAGCTGCGAGCTTCACGCTAAGACACTCGTTCTATTGTTACGGGGAAAACGATACACCACACGAACCGGAGTGGACATGGTTTAAGAACAACCTTACTATTACAAAGGAAGAAGAGACATTTATCCTTCGAAACGACGTGCTTTTGTTCCAAGGAATGTTCAAGAAAGAATTGCTTGATGCACCCAGGAGATGTAAAACTATTTACCGGCCTGAGTTCTCTAAACAGGCAGGCATACACTACCCTCACAAGATGTGGTCCAACAGGAGTAGGTCTAGCGTCGTTGTTGATGACAGCATAGGTTTTGTCGCTCATCTTCGGTGGTTTTCCAAAAAATGTCCCCAGCGCACTTCCTTGTATCGCTTTTACAGAGATTACTTACATACACTGAGGAAATACTTTGACGACTTCCAGCTACATTTATTGTCTTTGCAAAGAGGAAGAGAAAACGTACGCGCTGTAAATCAAACGTATTCAATTCTGTCATTTCTTTGATGAGAAAAAAATGTAGCCTACTGAAATTCAAAAGTGGTGAGTTTACCCTCGAAATGACTTATGTGTTCTTAGTTATGCCTTAAACCAAATTAACAGTTGTTGCTTTCTAATCAGCGAAAAGAAACACCAATAAATAACATTCTATTTCATAAGAGTAGGGTTCCAACTATGGGATGAGCTGAAAGTTAAAGCCATGCGTCAATGTGGACGAGGAAATAAAATCAAGGTATCCGACACTTGTATGCCTTGTCTCTCAGTTTTTCAAGATCCAGATATTTGCGAAAGTTTTCACTGGATGTAAGCAACTCAACGAAGAGTTGTAGGTCTAGATATCTAGTCTACAGCAATAGTAAATAGTACTACATGTATTTACAGTGGAATTCAGGCCGGATTCAACAAGCTCGGATTCAACGAGAACTCGAAAATAACCCGGATTCAACGAGCACTTGAATCAACGAGCTCGGGTTCCAAGAGGTCCCTTCCAGAGTGAATAGCCCCCGCCGACGTGGTTTCGCTTATTTTTCTCCAAGAACGAACTTTATCTATTCCTGGAAACCATCCATTGTATCTGCAAAGTGAACCATTATTCGTTTAGCCGATTGCATACGACCAATCAGCGGCATTTCTTCATACCAACATGTGCGTTGTTGGCACGCGCACGTGTATACTCTGGCGTGTGTCGGGGTCGGATGGGCGGCCTGCACACGTGTGACTGTGTGTGCGTGTCGGGGAATGGGGGGGGGGGGGCTCTAGCGGTCTGGATGTTGAACGTTGCAGATACAAACGGGTCACAGTCTTTTTTTCCCCTCGGCAACTGATCATTATTACAAGAACAATCGAGATGACACAGGCGTGTACTTTTGAACGAATCGGCCTATTTTTACACAGCTCATAATATGCAGGCATTTCAGGCACTACGTGTGACTTCTCTTTATACATTACTTGCTCAGTGCCTGTAATTATCTACGCAAAACCTCGTGTTTGATATAATGAACACTCGGATTCAACAAGATTTTAGGTCAGGCCCGGCGACCTCGTTGAATCCGAGCTCCACTTTACAACCTCTCTGTGGTCTCTCAGCTGTTACCGGCGATGTCGTTGATTTGAGAAAACAATAAACGTACATGAATAAATACTTGCTGCTTATGACTTTCAATATAATTATGTTGTTTAAGACTTTCAATACTTGTTTCTTATGACTTTCAATACGGGTTGCTTATTATGACCTTCAGCACTTTGTGGTTTCTCTTTATAACCTGATATAACACAGATTAGATGTTATAGTACTGTAGGGGTAGCACTAAAAGGCGTCATGTAACTTCTTCAAGCGGGATGCACCTTTATAACAATAGCTTTAAAAGAAACAAGAAAAATAATAAAGACGGCTGCGGCTACTCAGGGCAGGTTCAAAACTGCACAGATTAAAGCAAACGAGAACACTCAAAGCAGTGCTTTACCCTAGAATTACAAAGTTCTATCTGCTCAGTGCCAAGCTGTGATAAATTTAACGTTAAAAAATTTTGTTTCACATCATGTCAAGCCTTTTCAAATGCAATTCTTTAAATATCTTGATATGGACTAGAAATAATCTTACGATTTTGATAGATGAGATATGGCATTTGATTTCTGACCTCTTTGCCTTAATAACACAAAATAGCCAAAAATGTCAGGTGGAACTTTATAATTCTAAGACAGCGAGTTGTTGGGGACGACAGTGGCTGAGAGGTTGGTAAGCTCAGGCTCACAAAAATGTCTAGTGTGTTTCGATGACTCTATGTTTAGGACGGTGGTAACTGGGGATTTGTCCTTGGGCGACCAACACACGAAACCCGGACTAGCAATCCTAAGGTAGTATGTTCAAATCCCGTTAGGGACCCGATTGATGCGTTCTTGGGAAAGGCCCTTTACACGAATTTTTTTCACTTCACCCAGGAGGGAATGGGTACCTGGCTATAGACAGCGAAAGGTTTTCTCGGTTTGTTAGTGTTTGATCGCGTGCAATCCACTGTTTGCGCTGTATGTTTCCCGGGAAGCGGAGGATGTTTCTGAGTGTTTTTAAGTCAGCTGGGGGATAATAATAGTTGTAAAGCGCATAGAGCATGCGGTAGAGAGTGGATATACGCTGTATAAATGTAATTATTATTTTTACATGTATTCACCCTGAACAAAAAACAGGGCCGTACACAATGAAAACCAAAAATAATGGGTAAATTGCTTGTTTTTGTGACATTGTGTTATTTTGGCTTTTATGAATTGATGTATTAAATTGTGTATTTATACACGCCATTGTGAAACAAATTTTCCTGAGGTAGCAATAAAGTGGAGTTAAGTTCTATTTATTTGCATGTTTATTTCGTAGATATAGATGCAGTTACATCGTTACATCAAAGGCCATAGTCAATCAGCAATCAGTCGGGACTGTAGTGGTAGGATTGGGTTAGGGGTTGTTGTTGTTGTTGTTTTGTTTTTTTGTGTGTTTATTATTCGTTTGTTTGTTTTGTTGTTGTTGTTGTTGTTGTTGTTGTTGTTGTTGTTGTTGTTGTTGTTGTTGTTGTTGTTTGGGTTTTTTGATAAGTGTTTTACTGCGCTTGCAACTGCATAGGGTCATATGAGCGCGCGGGACACACTAACATATTTTCAGTTTGTAGGAAATTTTGAACTTTACCCGGGTGACAGCCGAAGCCTACTCTTATCGACTTTGGACCATCATGGGATTTTTAACGTGCGCAACTTGCACACGGGACCTCCAAGATTTTTCGCCTTTGTTCGAGAAGGCTAGGTGTAGATCGTTCTTACCATTGTTCCTACCATAAGATCAGGGGTGTGGCTGAAAGACAGCAGTAAGAAGGAGCCCATGAGTAGCAGTAGTAGGGCTACAGAAAATGTCAGGAGCCCAGAGGAGGAGGCAAAGGAGTTGAGGAGTGGGGGCAGAAAGCGGAGACGAAACAGACGACAGAACATTGTTAAAGACCAGAAATGGAGGTGAAAGGAGACAATTTTAGAGAAGAAAATTTTTCATCACTATCCGGATTCGAACCCACGACCTAGGCTATTGAATGAGAGGCGAACACCTTAACCTCTAGACCACGAGTAGTGGTTTTGAGAGTAGTGCTTGCTTGTCTGATCTCTGGGTGGGTGGTTGGTGGATGCTCTGGTGTGATAGGCTCCTTCTTTCCTTTCAAACATTTATCAAACATCAAATGGTGCAACTCAAATTTTCTAAAAGTGAATCTCTCAAAAACAAAGGAAATGATTTTTGATTTTAGAAGAGAAAAACCAACAATCCCTCCACTCGTAATTGAACAAGAAACTATTGAAATCACGGATTCATACAAATATCTTGGCCTTACAATAGACAACAAATTTACATGGCAAAACCACGTAAACAATATCGTTAAAAAAGTAAATCAGAGGCTGTACTTTCTGAGGAAACTAAAGTCTTTCAATCTGAATCCATCCATCCTTCAGATTTTCTACACCACCACAATAGAAACTTTGATAAATTTTGGAATCACTTGCTATGGTAGCAATCTGGGAAGGCAGCACATTATAAAACTAAATAAGTTTATAAAAAAGGCATCAAGAACAATTGGTAGAGACCTAGATCTAAGTAACTTTGAATATCTGCACAAGACAAATGTTCTAAAAAAGGCGGAAATAATGCTTAGTGACCATAGCCACCCACTGACATCGGAATTTCAACTATCGACCCGCATTAAACGATACATTTCCAAAAAAGCAAGAACAGACAGATATAGAAATTCATTCGTACCAACTGCAGTGAGGTTACTGAACACACAGTGCTACAAATGAAACAGAGAGAGAGAGAGAGAGAGAGAGAGAGAGAGAGAGAGAGAGAGAGAGAGAATGAATGTGTTACGGAGCGGGTTGTCCCAGCCCGTGAGACATGTATTTACTTGCCATAATGTCCTGTCTTGTTGTGCGTTTGCGTGAGTGCACCTTTAAGTCTAACTTTTGTAACGTCTACTGCCATTGTTAACGACCAAGACAAATTTTTCCCTGCGAGATGAATAAAGATTGTCATTGTCATTGTCATTGTCATTGTCATCATCTTCCTTGCCTCTCCTTCTCCTCCTGTTTGTGTTTGTTATTCTCTTGCAACGCCTCTAATCTTCGGCACATATGACCTAATTGTGTTGCAAGTGTCGAACACGTACTAAAACATGAGCCTTGAGCTTTCGGTTGTCGTAATGAAGGCACGAGGGCAGCCTGTGATGTCTAAAAGGAAAAAGCTCCTGAATTGACGATTGACGAAAGCTTAGAAAGGTCAGTATCTAGTGTGATTATGTGATCACAGAGGGCGCACCTGTGGCTATTGGTACACTGTCGTTTGCAAAGTGTACGTACTTCTTATGGTGTGGTGTGGTGTGGTGTGGCATTGTATGGCGTAGTGTAGTGTGTGTACACACATTCCGTCCCAACCCCCCTTCCCCAAACACACACTTCTCATAAAAATAACATCAATACATCCCTTAACTCGAAGCCCACCGCAGAATTATCGTCTTATTTAGGAAGCCCTTTAGTTTCCGGGAGCATTTGGTTTATGCGTATAGTCAGAACAAGGTTCGCACTGAGGATAGGGAACGATCCGGCAGCATCGTTGGAGTGCTCGGGATCATCAGGAGCGCGACGATACCGCCAATGTTGGAGAAAGTGATCATTACTTCAACAATCAGACTCCGAAGAACTGTTGGGAATAACTCGGAGATGAACATGTCACGTAATGGATCTGGTAGAAGCCTTGCATGCTGGTCTTGGCGATGGGAGCCAGTACTGTAATGGAGTAGCCGTGCGAGTCCGAGTCAACTGCGTAAGAGAGGGTGGCCGCTAAGAGACAAGACGCGTATCTTGTGAGCGTGAAATCAAAGATTTCGAATCGGTGATTGAAACACCGGAGGGCAGGCGCTGCGAAAAATGAAAAAGCGTAAGCGACAAGCGATTGTCTCACAAAAGCTAACACTGTCACATCCGCTCTCATTGGTTAGACTTCTGTTCCGGCTTCTCCCATTGGCCAGACTTGCGTTCCAGAAAACGTCCGGATCGGCGTTCGAGCTTGAGTTGCGAATGTATCATGGAAGAAGATATGTTTGAGGATAACGTATAGTCTTCCACGCATACCCATGGCGGCTCGTAAATCCCGAAGAAGAGGAAGAACATTCCCCATATGGAGGCTGCCCGGGCCAGTTGTGTCGTCAGGACCAGAACCATCTGGAAACACCCACCAGTTCCGACCACACGAACAGCTGACTCCATCTCCATCGCTGTCAATAGAAAGCAAATTATCCATAATGTTAAAATATAGGTGAACGGCAGTTCGCTACCTAAGAATTACAAAAGTTCTATCGGACACGATTTAAATTTTTTGACCGTTTTGAGTTACTTATAAGACCGTGAGGTCAGAAATCAAATGCTCTATCTGCTCTATCAAAAACGTCAGATTATTCTATGTCGTTTTCAAGATATTTAAATAATTGCATTTGAAAAAGCTTGAAATATTGTGAGACTCAAAATTTTTTACATCAAATTTATCAAAACTAGGTGCTGAGCTGATAAAACTTTAAAATACTGAGGTAGCCAGTCCTTGTTTGTTTGGGTAAGCGTTTTGCGTGCTTGCAACAGCAT